ACACACACATACACACACACACACACATACACACACACACACACACACACACGGCCTTTCTCTGACCTGATGATGTTGTCTGGATTGTTTACTGCCATGAAAAAGTGAGGGAAAAAAGCTGCAACTGCACTAGAAAAGAAAATTTTCAAAGTTGTAAGTGAAACAGATTATTGGAGTACAAGAAAATGCAATTTCAGACTTTTTTTCCTTTAAAAAAATCCTGTTTAAATCAGTGTCACCTGACAATTCTTTGTAAATTTTTTGTGTGTAACTTACTATCAATTTCTGAGTAAAAAATGGTTTCAACACTAATGCTTTTTTTCAGTGTGGAGTTTCCAAGAAACAAACAAACAAACAAACAAACAAATTAATATAAGATCTCCTTCAAAAAGCTTCAGAAACTTTCAGAATTTAGTTGGTCCTGCACCTACAAAAAAAGAAATGTAGAAACAAATTTTACTTATGAATTGCTTGTGAATTTTACAAATAATTACAGAATTTTGAAGTAGAAAGACTAAAATGGTATTTTCTTGTAAAACCTACTCCAGTAAGCTTTGTTATATTTGCAGCTTTGAATAATAATATTTTACAGTGTGTTTTGGTTGATTGTAGTGGTTCATTAGGATATTAAGTAAAGATCATGTTCCATGAAGATATTTTGTAAATCTCCTACCGTAAATATATCAAAACTTAATGTTTGATTAGTAATATGCATTGCTAAGAACTTCATTTGAACAACTTTAAAGATGATTTTCTCAATATTTAGATTTTTTTGCACCCTCAGATTCCAGATTTTCAAATAGTTGTATCTCAACCAAATATCGTCCTATCCTAACAAACCATACATCAATGGAAAGCTTATTTATTCAGCTTCAGATTATGTATACATCTCAATTTCAAAAATTTACCCTTATGACTGGTTTTGTGCTCCAGGGTCACATATCGGTCTGGATTTGCTCATCAAAGGGATACAGAAGAACATGTCAAATATTAGGGGTTGTTTGCTTTATTGATGTTTGACGTGACCTTTGTCCTTTTTCAAGTCCTCTCATTAAAGCACACATGAAGTAATAGATAAAATATTTATTTTGAAAAATACACGCATTCAGCAAAATTACAATGTACAATACAGTACAGATTTCCAAGATATCTCACCTATAAGAAAATAGTTCTATATTTAAAAAAAATCATAGAAATTAGCCTCAGTGAGTTTTTGCTCCTTCAACGAGCCTTAGCTTTAATATCGTGCCATAAGTTACAGTATCATTTTTGTCAAAGAAAAAATAAACACCACACGTAGATCGGATTTGCATGGCTTGATTCGTACTAACTACGCAAAATAACATATAAAGTGCACTTGCAGATTCCCTACACTATGCATCACTAGGAAGTGCTTCAGACTAAACAAACTGAGAACATAAGACACAATAAACATGGCAAAAATACACCTGTAACGTACAATGTAGGTTATTGTACTGTCTGTAGATTACTGTACTGCTTTTGCAAAGGCGCTATATAAATAAGACTTATTATTATTATTATGAATAATAATAATACAAATAAAAGAACAGAATAAAAGCATCTTAAAAAGAAAGCCAGTACATACATTTAGTTGCATTTGCTGGTGCTTAGCGTAAACAGTCAAAATAAGCTTCGAGAACTATTGTGATATAATAAAATATATTAGATACTAATGCAGCACTTTCATTTGCTGTCAGACCTTTTCTGGGACGTGTGGCAATATCTAAATGTTTACTGTCATGTTGGGTAACCGTGCTGAGTCAGGCCTAAGCGTGGCTTTTACAGTGGCTTTCATTTCCCTGAGTATCTCAACATCTTTAAAAACCCATAACGAATAAACTTTGCTTAGACAGAAAGCCTCGATTAGAGCATATTTCGTCCCTTCCTGATAAAGCAGATAAATAGGTGTACTGTTAAAATGGTTAGTTCACCCAAAAAGGAAAATTATCCCATGCTTTACTCACCCTCAAGCCATCCTAGGTGTGTATGACTTTCTTCTTTCAGACGAATCCGGTCGGAGTTATATTATTACAATTTTCCTTTCTCTTCCAAGCTTTATAATTGCAGTGGGCGGGTGTTTCTTTTCAACAGTCCAAAAGACGTCAAATAAAGTGCATCCATCCTCTGTCCTGTGAGGCACATTTTATTATGGATGCATGCACTTTATTGCACTTCTTTTGGACTGTTGAACAGAAACACCCGCCCACTGCCATTATAAAGTTTGGAAGAGCCAGGACAATTTTTATAATACAACTCCGATTGGATTCGTCTGAAAGAAGAAAGTCATATGTGACTCTGCAGCACAAAAGCAGTGTTAAGTCGCTGGGGGATATTTGTAGCAATAGCCAACAATACATTGTATGGGTCACAATTATACATTTCTCTTTTATGCCAAAAATCATTAGGATATTAAGTAAAGATCGTGTTCCATGAAGATATTTAGTAAATTTCCTACCGTAAATATATCAAAACTTAATTTTTGATTTTTTTTTTGCACCCTCAGATTCCAGATTTTCAAATAGTTGTATCTCAGCCAAATATTGTCCGATCCTAACAAACCATACATCAATGGAAAGCTCGTTTCATCCCTTATTACTGATTTTGTGGTCCAGGGTCACATAGGATGCTTTGAGGGTGAGTAAATCACGGGCTCATTTTCATTTTTGCGTTAACTAACCCTTTAAGTCACGTAATTGTTCTTTATGTGCACCCGCAGGACTCGACGATCATGTCCGGGACGTCGGTCTTCACGATGGTGTGCTGCGAGTTGAAGTAGACCATGGAGAGCGGCCGTCTCTGGATGGGAACGCAGCAAGACGACACGGCCGTGTGGATGCCGTTGGCCTTCAGTTGACTGAAGACGGTGGCGTGGAATGAAGAGGCGATGCCGGGCGAGCCGGATAAATGCTGCGGACACTGTCCCATGCAGTAGTTCATGTGGTAGCCCTCTGGTGCTATGATCCAGTCCTGCCACTGTATGTCGCGGAACTTGATGTAGAAGTCTTTCTTGCAGCACACGCTCACGTCGTCGCCACATCGCAGCGAGCGTTTGCTCAGTGCGTGTTTGTTGGCGTCTTCACGCAACTGTACCTGCGCGACTAGGAAAGGCTGGTGAGAGGAGTCGCCGGATGCTTCGTGACTGCACAGGTTTCGACCGCCGTCTTCGCAGTGCACCTCAAGACGGAGCCTCCGCTGGCCGCCGTCCAGGAAGGCCTGCAGGGCGCCGGTGACCGGGAACGTGTGCCATCCGCCTCGTGACACATCCACGCTTCTCTGGAGCAGCAGCGTGCGATTAGCGCCGCTCGATGCCGGCAGGGAGATTTCTGCGTTTACACGGCCACGGTGATGAGGCGCATCGGCCGGACGCACGTAAAGCCACAGCGACGACTGCAGCACCTGAACGCTGTGACCTTTCTCCTGCAGGAACTGGAACGACAGACTGGTGTCGGTGCCGGCAGAAACCCGCTCATCTGGAGAGAAATCAGACACAGGTGCTTAGAAGAAGTGCTTATTTTGCGAGCGGAAGTAAGATGTTTTTTTGTGAATGTGCCAGACACTGTAAAAAATCAAAAGTTGAGAAAACTTAAAAGTTTAAGGCAACCAGCTTCAGTAGATTTTTTGAGTTTTCTCAACGTGTTGTTTTCAGTTTATACAACAAAAAGTTGAGGAAACTCAAAAATCTCCAACAAAAATGACTTAAAAAAAAAAAATCTGCTGAAGCTGGTTGCTTTAAACGTTTAAGTTTTCTCAACTTTTTGATTTTTTACAGTGTACGTAAATAACTATGCTATAAAAATATATATTTTAAAATTGTAAATAAAGATTATAGAAAAGATTTTATAAGAAAATTCTATTATTACAGTCTTTATACTTCACAATTTCAAGTTTAATTCGTTTCAATTTGTTTGTAATTCATTTTTAAATTTAAAAAGTAATTTTTGAGTGATTTTTTTAAAATAACAAACTGCAATCTGTTTATGATTAATGAAAATTATTTTATAAATTAAAGTTATATGATGACAAAAACAGGTCGCATTATCAAGCAGCATAACCACTGATTTTGTACAGCTAAAATAACTAAGCCATAATACCGGAAGTCCAGCACATTCCTATTACTAATGGCCACGCCCACTCTTAAGTCAAAAAGGAGGTGGATTGGAACAACATTCCAATATTTAGTTCACATGCAGTTTTCAATGTGTAGATATGTATGTAAAATGTTTAATGTATAGTTTGCACGTGCTCGAGGTGTGCAGGTACCAACTGTTTAAAAATACTTTTATGAACGATTTAGAAGCACAAAGAGTCAGATGTACCCACCTTTTAGTTTGTAAATATGTATATAACATTGTTTAACGTAGGCTATAGTTACCAGTTATTAATCATTGAAGAAACCGGATTTGAACAGTGAAAATCGTTCTTAAAACCATTCATTTCAGTATTTTCATAGTTGAAGAAACTGGATCTGAATATGCTTTCTGCCTGATAAAACCAATATTTTCATAAGGAGGCGTGTGCGCTTAACAATTTACAATCAACGCAGGAAGGTTTTTTTGCTTTTATGAACGATTTAGAAGCACAAAGAGTCAGATGTACACACCTTTCAGTTTGTAAATACCCTTACGAAAAAGAAGTTTATTCAAGTGTGCTATTAGTATACTTCTTTTAAACTAAAAATAGGAAAGTATACATTTAGTCTACTTTTTATGTACTTCTCAGAAATATACTTAAAATGACATTTAAGTATACTTGACATATACTGACATATATATTTGAGCTATAATTGTGCTCTTAGAAGTCGTGTTTTCATTGTTATACTGTAGGGGGCGCTAGTACACATCTTCTGTACAGAATTTCCAAAAAAGTTAAAACACAAGTAAAGAAGAAACCGAAACAACAGAAGCTTCCACACGTAATCTAACATGATCATCAGACATAAAACAGCATCAAAACTGTGTAACGTTTTGGAATAAAATGAAGAGGTAATAATGACTGTCAAGCTTTGGGGTGTTGATCGACTCATCTACGTTTTGATTATCATTCTGAATCCAATTCATAGTCTTTTTTCAGCTTTTT